TTGAGATGGAACAAGTAATATGATTTCTGTATCTTGCACTATATGTTTCAAAAGCTACTGTGGCAGTGTTGTAGCAATCACTAACATTTTAGTTTTATCACATGGAACACTTGAAGAAGCAACAGCAGCAGCAAGTGGAAAAGAAAGAAATTAGACAGTAGAGACTAAGAAAAAAGCTTGAAATCAAAATCCTGGATGAGAACACCCCACACATAAGCTTTGGCTCTGTATCTGAACTCTTCATCTTATGCCCAACTCTAATCATTACCAGTTTCTTTTTAAAAGTCTGTGCCTGAAAGAACTGATGTGTTATGGGACAGCCATGACCTAAGTAAACTCCAAACAAATCATTCATCACTGCAGAACTCCATAAAAAGCTGGTTCTTTCTCAGAGAACAGTGTTCTTCTAAACACATATTTTAAATAAAAAGGAAACAGAAAGCACAGTAGGCTTTCATCAACTGTACACAAACAAAGCCTTTGATAATTTTCTCAATAGACTTCAGATCATTATGCCTGAGGCCAGGAGGCACTATGCAGTTTATGATTTCATTTTACAAACTTTTGGTCAAAAGAGTCTTCTCAAGTGCAGTAAAGAAAGAAGCACTTTTTCATTGACTATCGTTATGACCACAATATCCCCACTCAAAGCCTTACATGTACATCTTTTTCTGCACCAAATTCAAACTTTACAACCTCAAGGTCAGAAGCAGGAGGTACTCACCGTACCCAGACCAACAGCCATGTTATCTGTTCCCCATCCTTCCCTTCCACAGCCTACGCTGTTCCTAAAGCTGTTGGCACTTCCTAGATCTATTTATTCTCTTACCTTCCTGTCACTCAGATCTACAAACATGCTGTTGCTGATTTTATATTGAATTTTAATAATCTACTTAAAACCTAGAACATTAAAAGATGAAGTTTTAGTAAGATAACCAGAGGTATCCTGGGGACCAAGGAAATTTAACATTCTGCAATTCAAACCACAAAGCATCTATTGCCACACTTTAGAGGTTTAGAGGTACACCAGAGGAGAACTGTGAGGTTAATTTAGGCTAACAGAGGATGCTGATTGTAAAGAAGAATGACTACTGCAAAACAGAGCTGCACTTTTACTTTGAAGCATTTTACTACAACCATTTCAATCTACTCACCTATTGTCTACTCATTTCCTCAAAAGCAAAGTCTACATAAGTCTGAACTACTAAAGACTCAAATCTATTTCATTAATTTATTTAATCTGTTCTTTAATGTGGTGGTAAAATAGCTGAACCAGCAGATTTTTAGCAGCTTTGGATAACAAAGTAATAGAAAAGTTATGCATTCAATTTAGAATTACAGTCTGTATAAAAATAGTCTGTATAAAAATAAGTAGCAGCAGTCATCTCATCAAGGTATTCATGGCTCCTGCAACACCATCCCAAACTCAATAGTTTCTCATTCTTTAAAAGCATTATATGAGAACTGGTAAGCAAGAGAAGTGTATTTAACACTGTGATTTCACATTAGCAGTTGCACAAATAATTACAGGTAAAACCTCAACAATTTCAACAATTTTCTCTCAGCGGGGAAGGACTGAAATCACTTTGAGATATAAAGAGATCAACAGAAGCCTTTACAAGTGTTAAATCATAGCCAGATCCCCATGGTATTTATCCAAATGCTCTCCTCTGATGACCAGACTCTATTCATTGTACTGAATTTTGGCTGGTATTTTCTGAGACACATTCAACAGAAATAGCTTACAGTTATCCTCACAAAGTAACCATTTTAGCATTCCAGTGTTAATAGGAGACTCTTAATGGGTTATACAATTTAAGATTAATCTGTTCTTTTCTCTGGATGTGATTCTCTGTTTCATAAGAGAACCACCTGCCAGTGAAGTTTGATTCAACCCCTTGGAGAAATCTGCATCAGCTGTGCATTTGTGAGCCGGGTTTAGGAAGGATCTTAGGAAGGAAGTATAGCTAAATGTGGAATTACATAAAACAAGACTGGTGGGGACCAATGGGGTCATTTGGAATAATCACCAGGTAGGGTCAGTTTTGCCTAAACAATTGTGAGCAGATAATGCTCTGACTTATTCTAAAGGGGTACCAACAGTGAGTTCCCAACATGCCTCCAAAAAATTTATTCCAGTGTTGAACTGTCTGTATCATGACAGCTGTTCTTTTACATCTGACAAAGATCTCCAGTTAGACATTATTACTTCTATTTCTCAGGCTGTAAACATATGCTAAATTACTAATCTATAAATTTGCATTTGTTTTACTTCTGAAGGCAATTACTTTTTCTGCAGAACTGATTGAATAGCGGGTATCATTTAAGATTTACCCTATGCTATTGCAGCATCTGAGCCCTACAATATCAAAACACTTTTATTCCAGCAGAATTGAAACAAAAGCTGCAATTTGTTCATCTCAAAGCAGTCTGGAGAAGATCCTAAGAAACAACCAACATCCTAAAAATTACAATAATGGGAATATTTTTAGTGACTAAAATTGTAATGAATCAGTTCTGAGGCACTGCCTCTTCCAATCTAATGTGTTTCACTTTTTGCTGATAATGCAGGAAGAAAATAAGGTCATGTTTCAAGGTACTCAACCATTTCTGTCAAGTTATCTGGACTGTCTAACAGAAGCTAATTTACAATGGGAGGTGCCTACAAACAGGCGCCATTAAGTCTAGAGCAATGAGACTGATTTCTCCCTGAACATCAGTTTGACAAAATTATAATGCAGAAAGAAGAGCACTGTACTTCTGTGTGAGGTGCAAGGCTTTCTATCCCAATAGATTCTCTTCATTATTTTCTATTCTTCTAAACTAATACACAGTGAAGCTTAATTAATCACTATTCTTAAGGAAAGAAAAAAATGAATATATATATGAATTAGATATATGTTTAGAAATAACTAGTGTTTTTTTTTGTTTGTTTGTTTTTTAATTCTTCTTTGAATAAATAAAATTGGGGTTCTAATTAAGATAGGATAACAGATTCATCCTCACAGTGCTCTTCTCCAGCAGGATTTTGTAACTGCAATAATAAGAAAATAATGAAACATATACATAAGGGGGAGAGAGAACTTAAGTGTTCAAAAAAAAAAATGTAGCAAATAAAGTCATTTTCTGTATTTAAGAGCAGAAAAAAATAAATCAAAGCTTGCATCTCCTTAATACCTCAAGTTACAAAGAGATCACTTGTTACTCTTATTTGATTAATTTTCAGTCCAACACAGGTACTACATAACCAAACACTAAATCGTTGCAAGGTGTTAAAGAAGATCATTATAATTCCCTGACTGGACAATTAAATATAACATTTGAGTAAAGAGAGAATTTCAGTATGTGAAGGTTTTAATTCTTACAGAGATTATGAAATTTACTCTCAACCCTTCCATCACAAATCAGCACTGCTGGGGTAGTAGGGTTTTTAGTGGGTTTTTTTGTTGTTTGGTTTGGGGGAAGGCATTGAACCTGATAGCGGATTGCAGCTACTATCCTTTCTATTTCAAGTTTAGCTAAAGGAGAGGAAAATGCTAAGGAACAGTTTTTGTGCTAAGTAGAGTCAAATGGTATCCAGAAAATTTTGAGTATTAGATTCTCCTTAGTGAGTATTTTTAAGACAAAATAAACTGCCTAGGAATAATGAACATTATTAAAAGATAAAGACATTTTCATAGAAGATGAGGTAAACACTCATGAATGCAATGAGACCCAACTAATTTTCCTAATAAAAATTATTACTCAGTTTTCTTAACGTGTATTCTTCTTCTTTTTTTTTTTTTTTTTTTTTTTTTTTTTTTTTTTTTTTCTTAGATCAAACTATGACTACATAGAAACCTGCCCAAATGTGATTCAGGTTCACTAGAGCATAGATCCACAAAACTATAAAGTCATATATTTTCCAGGTAAAATAATTGTAATGCATTACTAGTTTTACCACATCTTCTTTGGTGCATAGCAACAACTTAATGCTTATGAGTTATTAGTCACTCTCATACCAAGAAACTTTTAAGTATTAACTTAGGGACCTATGTTGTAGTTGGTTCATAACTTAATAGAAAGACCAACTTCCAAAGATGCTTATTCATGCCCAACAGGGATGGCTGGGAGAGTTGAAAAAGAATAGGCTTCTGTTGCAATCTGTAAGTGCTTGGGCACACTAAAATTCCCACAACCTACAACTAAGTATTTTGCAAAACCTTCTTCCCCCTTCTGTGTGAGTTAGTGTGGGTGGGTTCTACGGGTACCCATGAATGCGGATGGTTAACAAAAGTAGCAGATCAGAAAAGAGCAAAAGAACATACTGATAAATAAAAGACTATCTTCCTCAAACATTTAAGCTCCTCAAACATTAGAAGAAATTACTGGTCCTTCTGAATTCATGAGAACTACTACAAATCAAAACATCAAGAATCAGTTTAATCTGTAGAAGGCCACCAGCACACACTAGCAAAAATAATAATATAACTTTAAGCTACATCAACGTATGTGGTAGCTGCTACCCAAGGACAGTAGGACCATAAATGCAAATGATGAACCAGAGAGACACTATGAATACTTCACAAATACCCAGCCAGAAATGCAGGTACATCAGCACTGCTTCCCATAAACAAACAAGTGTGGTTGGCCTCCCAGCCATAAGCTCAATCTCCAACCAAGTATTATGAGTGGGATGCATGATCTGAGTGAAGGAACAAATGAATGCACTGTGTGACTAGTTATTGGTTATTAACAACAACAGTTTGGTTCTATTATTAATAATAGCTGCATTAATAAAAGTAGTTCTAATGAATATGGTCATGATCTCTGTCTCTCACAATTCCATTCCCTACCAGGTAAAAGAGAATTTAAAACCCTTCTTGTTTCAGTCCTTTGTATAGGAATGGCTCTACTTCTCCTCAACAGGACCAAGCAGTGTTAGCATGCCCCTGCAAGCTTCTACGGGGACAAAAAAAAAGAAAGAGAAAGAAAAAGCACTGTTGTTTAAAACTACTTACTTGGTAGGGATATAGAGTAACGCCATTCGTTCTTGACAAAGACCAAGTGCCATCGAGGTACTGATGAGCTTGGATAGCCACAGAATTGAGAACGTTACCATTGCTGGGGCTGGTGGCCATTTGAAAGCTGACCTTGGCTTGGTGTCCAGGAGAGCCATTTTTCTTCTCCACCCCATTAACAATTCCTAGACTGTTGGGTTTTCCACTGTGCTTGTTGGCAACAAAGCCTGTATAATTAGATGTAGCATAAGGTGCAGGCATGTATGCCCAGTCCCTGGGCTGTAAGCTGCCCACGTGCCGGGAGCTGACTAGTGTGGGAATATTAGAGAGGGGTGGGGGTGATCCTGGAGAGGCATCGTAATGTTCTGAGTTGGCAGCCTGCTCTAAGGTCAGCACCATCTGAATGGCCTCTTGCTTCAGCTGGTTCAAGTGTGTGGCACAAACGTCGCATCTGTTGTCCTTCTCATTCCATGCCTTCCGAATAGTATTGGGAACTTGGAGTTTCTCGTGAATCACTGAAGAGAAACCTGGGTCCTAAAAAACAGACAAGGATGGGGAAACAGATGAGAAATATTTAACTACTGTCAGTGCAGCGAAACATTATTACCGCTGATTGTGCATTTCAGAAGCCAATTAATGAGACCAACTTAGCAAGCAAACAGAAGTCATTAGATACAGTTAATATATGCCAGCAGCAGGTTAAACAAAATGAAAAACTAGCTTATGTTGAAAAGAAATACTTTTTACTTTTACTGATAAATTACAGGTATTATAATTCCACTACAAATTCCACTGCATGGCAGGGAAAATGAATTAACTTTCTTCACACCACTGCACCTAATTTCTAACTTGAATGAAATCTACTCTTAGTTACACAGGTAAGATCAAGAGCAACTCCAGTGAAATCAGCAAGGTTCACTATCTTTTCACCATTTGTAATGAACAATTTGCTCCTTGGAAAATGTATTTTGGAGGCAAAATCATGTGACTGGATTGCTTCTTGCCTCATATCCTTAACTAATGAATAGATTTTTAAATATACCATTCTAATCTGACTACAGTTATTGACTGCTGGCTCAAACTGCACAGCGCTTCAGTAAATCATGAAGCCAAACTGCATTCACCGCAGGGCTTCTCACCAAACTTGAATAGTTCTTACAGTATCTTGCAGTCTTACAAATGCAGAGCAATTATGTGTGTGTTAAACAGAACAAACAATAACAGCTATGTAATAGAAACTAATATTTTTATGCACTAGTCTGAAGTTATCTCTTATATGCAAAAAAAAAAAAACAAACCAGGAGTTCTAGATCAGCATGTGTGGTAAAGTAGATGAAGTAATAAAGCTTCATATTCAGTTTATTGTTAGGGAAAGTGCACTCAATTAAGTGCGTTTACAGGCCAGGCTTCCCCTCCTCAAGTTTTGGAGACACAAAGGTAGACTTTATTATAACTATGAAAAAGATTTACAGGCAGCAGTACGAGAGCCTATTTTTCTTTTTCTGCTTTGAAGCTTTATCAGATTTGGCAGTAAACTGAAATCAAACCAGAAGATTTAAAAAAAAAAAAAAAAAAAATCATGGAAATAAAGACCACTTTTTTCAAGACATTGTATGAACTCATTGCCATCAAAGACAGACAAATTTCATATACTGGTAGTTTAGCAGTATTGGGATAAAGTAGAGGAAGAGAATTCAGCAGTAGAGTATGATCCATCTTTATTATATACTCAAGCATCTTATTTTCACTGTTTAACTACCGTGAACAACCCCTCAGCATGCAGTGATTAATTGATTCATAAATCATGGCGCCTCTTTTATGCACAGCAGCAAAAGAGCAGTTTTAGCCCCAGAAGCCCAAGAGAGACATATAAGCTGATGGGAAACAACAGGAGGCTGAGATCTGATCAGGTCTCAAAGTGGATGATACTGTTCCATGTACAAAGGGGGTCAGAGCATCACAGTGTATCAGAAAGGCAGGAACTGAATTCTGTACCAACCTCCCCACCCTTAACCATCAGAAAAAAAAGACTGATGGAGATCAGGAGGGAAAAAGCAGGAAGGAAGAGATGTCAAATTTATTTTCTATTCAAGACCATAACTAGGTCAACAGATCACATCAGATATCACGTCATCGCCACTGATGGTGCCAGGTATGCAGGGAGAGGCTTCTCTAATTTTCCCCTAATACATCAGACAAAGCTATCCATACACATGAAGTGAGGTATAAATCTTTGTTTCCAGGCTGCTCAATGTCAGTCCAAGAAAAATCTTTGCCAGTTCTTACTTCAGCTAGCTAATGCCACAGAGCTGGTTCTGTTCTTTGAAAATCGACTTCCCTTAGGCAACTGGCCTTGAACCTAGGTAATTATATACAACATTCAGATCCAGCAGCAGTTTAACATGGAAATTCCTAGAATACTATGATAAATATTCCAAGGAAATAAAGCTTTCTCTAAAGTAAGCAAATGTCAGTATGATATAAATATTCAAGTAGCACACCAGTTCTAAGGAGTGCTGGACAGCAGTGAATTCAGCGTCATCTCATTGTTAAAACAAACATCAGATCATTCTTTGATACAACAATAAACAGAGAGAGAGGAAGGAATACAGTTCCTCCTTGGGAATAGAAAGGAGGAAAACGGACACCACCTGAATTGATTATTCCTATAATTGGCTCTACTAATCAGACTCTACTAGACAGATTGCTCAAAACTGGTTCCAAGAATGGAATGTAAAACCATGAAACCTCCTCAACAGCAAATAAATTTGGAGAAACATAGGTTCCAGAAACATACTAGTCATATTTTGTAAAATATAGAGTCCAAAAGACAGTTTACTTTGTTATTCTGCACCTACACAGCTCCAGCATAATTTCATAGAAGAATTAGGTAACAGATTTGCAACATGTACAAGAGAAAGGTCAAGTCAGGATGTTCCTTGTCTGAAAGCAGGAAAACGTAGCTACATGACATTTATGTTTCATCCATAAGCAATCATTTGCACACATTTCCCCCAAAGAATGCTTATTATTTCAAAAAATAGCATCTTGTTCCATAGGCATATATGACATAGTGATGGGCAAACCCCATTGGGCAAGCTGCACTAAGCAGCAGGAGTTAGAAAGCTCACTACCAAAGCTTGTGAGGTCTGAAACTCCATAAACTCTCTCATGACAGTAGATTTGCTTGTGAAATCTGAGGCTGACACTGGAAATACCATTTATATTTTGGCACTTGTTTCAAGTCCTGACAGAATGAAGTACAGTGACACTGAACACTGAAACAGGACTTTAAAGTCACAAAGTTTGATTTGAGTTCAGGGCAAAGGTTCACAATGATCTCTCCACTTGCTACAATGGTTCACCCATCTTTAGTATAAACAGCATTACTATAAACTCCCATTCCTAGAATAAACAGATGAGACCAAAGTTTCAGGAGATCAGTGACAACATGGACTGCAGCACAAATGCACAAGGTAAGCAACGAACTAAACTGAGCACGCACTATTTTTGGTTGCAAGGAGCATTCTCACAAACTTTAAGTTTTCAAGCTTACATAAATTCAAACGCCAGCTAAGTTTGGTTCATCTTTTCCGCTCTGACCAGTTATTAATAATCCCCCATATTTGGTCCTAAACTAAAAAGCAACACTGGAAATACAGAAGAGGGAAGGAAGTTTTGCTCTTTAGAAACCGGTCACAAACAGGGATGCTGAGGAATTCTTGATTTGCCCAGTAAAAGTGTACCCAGTGAGCAGGCACTAATTAAAAAACATTGAAGTACACAGTTGTACCATGGTAAATTCAGTCCTGATCTCACAGAGAATGGACAGCTACAATTGTACAAAGTTGTACTTTGCTGTACGATTTCCACGACGCTGTAAATTTATCACTAAGAAAGCAGATCAGAAACAAAATATTTCTTTCCTTTCTGTTATCCACCCAGGTGCCCATTTTCCTCTTCAGAGAAACAATCACTTTTAGTACAGATGTTTGTTTCACACACGATTCAAGTTCATAAGGAGACAGAATATAAGCAATGAGAGCTAACCTAGTAGAAAGCATAACGGGCAAAAAGTAGGATGAGTGATTTGCACTTTTATAGGCTACAATGGCTGCTCTGAAAGTAATGCCTCCTATTTTACTGTGTTGGCCTATGACTACAGAGGTAGATGTTGGTATGGCAGCAGAGGTTGAAACTTCCTGCCAATATTCCACTGTATTTTGTTGCCACGTAACAGATGTCAGCAAAGGGACAGTCTGGCAAAATGATGTCTGACAGGGAAGGGCATAAAAAGCAAAGGTGTGTCACTGAATTCCTCCACATGAAAAAACTGCATCCATTGACATTTGTCAATACTTGATGAATGCTCATAGAGACCAATCAATGGCTGTGAGCACAGTGAGGCGATGGGGAAATGTAGTTCTTCTCCTCCGGACAGGCACCCGGAACTTGAGCATCAGCAGTCAAACCCTTCTGCACGTGCAGATTTTTACTAGTGCCACATGCAGGCTTTTGTTCATCACAGGTAAAAATGCATAGCCAGTGGTGATGACTATGGGGAAACAATGCTTTGTATCTGAGAACTATCAGTGTTATTGTGCTCTTTGTACTTTTTCAGTTTCCAAGTAAAAGGCATTACTTACTTAGTGACCTACATACACGGAACTTGAATGAGGAGATTAATAAGTAAAAACTTTCTATGCAAACTACCTGTTTCACAAAGTAAGCCAACAGTAATATAAGATATGCAGTTTCGTGCTAAATCTTAAAAGAGTATTTGATTCAAACACAGGGTACACAAGTTATCCATTGTAATTTTGTTATTACTTCAGAGAAAACTCAACTCTACAATGAATCTCAAGACCTTCCTACCAAATTTTAATTTTTAGCACCACTATTATTCACGGCTCCCCAGGGAAAAAAAAGCAGCCAACACTAGCTACATAACACAGGTCAGCTTTTCCTTGGAGATGCTCACAGAAAATTCATGGATTTCTTTTGCTCCTGAGAGAGTACAGGTATCAGTGACTGCTGGTATATAATATACCTCACAAGGTAAGGGGAGAAGCAGAGGGAAAGCAACAAACTTCTACCCTAGAAGAGATGCGTTTCCAGGCACACCAGAAGGCTGTGCTGCCATTCAGTGAGATCTGGACAAACTGGGGTGCTGGGTAGAAAGGAACCTTATGAGTCATCTTCTGGTCTCTTGAGAATTAACATTCTAATCTAATAAAAAGACTATACATACAAATTTACTTTCCAGAGGCATTTGGGCTGTTTTCCAAGTGATCTACACCCTAATTTAAGCGTATCCTCTCATTGTCCAGTCTACATTTCAGATTTGCTGCTTTCAACTTCCCACAACAATAACAGTTGAAAAAAATCTTCTTCACGTTTACAACAGCACCACTTCTTTAAAGAAAATGTTTGTTCAAATAAGCTGAAGTCAGTAGGACTTTTCCTCAAGTGTGACATAGTAAATACTGACTATAAATTAGTAGTACCATACCACTGATAAAGTAGTACCGCCT